AGTGAGGTTTGCAGCTTTGGGGGGCATCTGGACCCTGCGCTCAACATGGAGATCCAGGTGTTGTCAGTGGTCCGTTCCACACATTTCCACCTTCAGCAGATTGCCCAGCTGCATCCCTATCTTGATGTGGGGGCGCTCAACACTTTGGTCCATGCACTCATAGTCTCAAGATTAGATTACTGTAATGTGCTCTATGTGGGGCTGCCTTTGAGACTGACGCGAAAACTTCAGATGGTGCAAAATGCTGCGGCCAGACTTCTAACTGGAGTGAAGAGGCACCAACATATTTCCCCCATATTTTTGTGGTAAATATAATCTGTCCATATCACTTTTTGGATGTGCATAATGCATGCTCATTAGTTACCGTGTTTTTCGATCCAATTCCCCTAATTCGTTTTGAGTCCAATCTATTACTCGAGCTGGGTATCTAATTACTGAAATGGCCCATGTGTTTATGGCTTTGATTGTATTTCCCCCATTTAATTTTGATTTTAAGATTTTCCACAGTTGTTTGATATATTCCCTTTCTGTCAGTACTGTATTTTAACTTTTATGTGCACAATGTTATCTGCTTCTAGTATTGCAAGGTATTTATAATTTTCATTACGAGAGTGATTTTATAGTACTGCCATTTTTTAAATTTTATTTTATTCATACATACCTAACATACAAAACTAAAAACACTAAAAACCTAACAATAATAAACAAATAACATCAGAACTAAACATCCATACTACCCCTATAGATTAGAGATCTTGCCATCATCTGGTCATCTAAATATCATCAAAGGATTCCAGTGAGCACTGATTTGCTATAAACTAATTCTTCCCTGTATAATACTACCATTTTTAAACTCTATTCCATCTATTCCAGTTTTTGGATCTTGCCACGGTGTATAGACAGAGCTATGCATTTGTCAATTCCAAATTTTACTTGGATATATTCACTAAATATTTGCATTGTGTTTAGCAGTGATTCTATCTTTGTGGAACTTTTTAGGTCATCCATATATAAGAGATAATTGATTTTTACTGCTTGTTATGAAATATGGTAGCCCAATCCAGTTTTATTTAAAATTATTGACATGGAGATTAGTGAGATGTTAAACAGCAATGGTGACAAAGAACCCCCCGAAATATTTCTCTTTTTATGCTAACTTCTCCAATTTCGTCACCATGGGTCATTAAGACTGTTTCCCATGTTTTTCCTGAGGAATTTCTGAATGTTTTTACTAATCCCAAACATTTTAAGGCAGGTATTAATCCAGCTGTGTGGCAGTGACTCAAATGCCTTTTCATAATCTATCCAAGCCATATTAAGGTTTGTTTTTCAACTTTTTGCATCATCATCATCATTCAAAAACAACAGGCACAGTGAATGAAAACTATAAAAACAATGACTGTTATTACATAACAGATACAAGCTTTAACCAAAAAACTATCAACTAAATACAGTGGGGTCTTGACTTGCGAACTTAATCTGTATTGGGAGGCAGTTCGCATGTCAAAAAGTTTGCAGGTCAAAATCTGCATTCCCATAGGAATGCATTGAAAACCATTTGATCCGTATCTGCTCTTTTCCGGCAATAGAAAGACACACACCTGCACAGGCAAGGAAAGCAGGGGAGAAAGAGCGGGCGAGAGGGGAGCCTGTACAGGAAGGAAGGAAGGAGAGAGGGAGGGGAGAGGAAGCCCAAAGCCCACCTCGCCGGGTGTCGGGTGGGCATCTCAGAGGGCAGGGCAGGGGAAGAGCCGGCCTGACAAAGGGTGGCGAGGCGCGGGGCTTCCTCCGGGGAGAGTGAGCGCCAAGAGGGGAGGGAGGGCGCGCCGTGGAGGCTGGGAAGGAGCGGGTGGGACCCTGAAGGCAGCCCACCCGGCCCCGCGAAGCCTCCAGAGGGAAGAGCGTCTGGCCGAGGGCGCCTGAGGGAGAGACGGACGGAGGGAAAGGGTCTGGCAAGTCGAGAGAGGGCAAGAGGAAAGGACAGGGAGAGGAATCCTGAAGCCCACCTCGCCCGGGTGCCGGGCGGGTGTCTCAGAGGGCAGGGCAGGGGAAGTGCCGGCCTGACAAAGGGCGGCGAGGCACACGGGGCTTCCTCCAGGGAGAGCGGGCGCAGAGAGGGGAGGGAGGGCGCGCCGCGGAGGCTGGGAAGGAGCGGGTGGGACCCCGAAGGCAGCCCAACCGGCCCCGCAAAGCCTCCGGAGGGAAGAGCATCTGGCCGTGGGCGCCTGAGGGAGGAACGGACGGAGGGAAAGGGTCTGGCGGTTCCTTACTGTTCCTTACCGCTCAGCCATGCTTTTGCCCTATTAGCTCTCCCCGCCTCTCCTGCTTTTCCCTCCCCACTTTTTGGGTTCGTATGTCAATTCTCCGTTCGCAAGTCAAAATGGATTTTTGCGGACAGAGAAGTAGGCAACTCAAAAAGTTCGCAAGTCAAGCCGTTCGCAAGTCAAGACCCCACTGTATTGATGTACTGTAGTCTATATGGTATCTATATGGTATTCCTAATATTCTCATTGCTATGTTGGTGCTATTTCTGGAATCTGCAATTGCTTAAAATATTGTGTGAAATTTTTTTGATAATTTTCCCAAAGCCCAATGACAATGGGGACTACTAAAGTATGTTTCATCCACAAGCAAGATATTTCGATGATGATGATGATTGTCATTTGTCTGCAGAAATGATGTATCTCCAGGCAAACATGCCATACCATTTTTTATAACTAGCAAAATATAATATTTGCTCCATATACCTTACTTTATTTATGGCTATATTTTGCATGTAAGTGAAGTATCAGAAGTTCCACAATGTTCTCCTAGGCTTATTTTATTGGAACTAGTGACAAGCAAGATGCACCCCAAAGGCTAAGCTAATTTTTAATTTTTAAGTCTTTTCCTCTGCATCTTTACTGCATGCTACATGATCCCTTTTACAGTATGTGTGTAAAAGTATGACTGCTAACAGAATGGTAATCACTTTTCAACTGGATGTGTCAACAGTGTAGCTACCCACAGAACACTATAAAATGACAAAAATATGTCCTTTATGCAAAGACATTCTAAATATTGCATGGGAAACCTTTATTTGACTTCTTAAGTTAGCTACAGAAAATATTTCTATATCTCTGCCTAACAAAGCTGTTGGAAATCAGAAAATTCTACTCTCCATTTATTAGTAAAAACTAATTTAAAGCGTTTTCTTAAATGTTTCTAGCATTTCTAATTTGCCAGAATTCTCTAGGGCCAAGAAAATAAGAGTCCTAAGACACATAACAGGGGCACACAAATGATCATGGATGACATTTTTGTCACAACACATCCCAAGAAGTCTCCTTCCCAGACTATGACTGCATATTGAATACCATGCAGTATTCTAAAATACCACATTCTGCAACTCACCTTTTTTCGTATATCTTCATCATTTGCTCCAAGTGCAGCATAGAGCTTGAATGCAGCCTGACGCAGTTCATGAGCATGTTTTAAGTCATGATCAAGCTATTTAAAAACACATAACCAAATGCAGATTATTCTTAAACTGCAAAATCTCAGTTGTTGATCGAGTAACATCTGCTATGAAACTGAAGTAACATCAAAAAGAAATAGAAAAATAACTGCCTGTGCTACTTTTCATGCAACATACTGCTAAAGAGCTTTGAACTACGATTCTCAAGTATCTGTTACAGAAACATTTTTGTCCTAAATAATACTATTAACTGTGAACATTTTATTCCAGGTCTTGCTTGCTCCAAGTAGCACTCCACTGAAGCCAGGATCATACTCAGGAGATAAAAATTATCCAGTACCCAGCACAGAACCCAAGCCATCCCAAATAAAGATCCCTGGGTGAAATGAGCCTAAAAGGTGATTGCTGACAGCTAGGAAAACCAGGAAATATATCATCTTAACATTCATTTAACAGCCAATCCCCAAGAACAATGTGGTACACTAATATTCAACTGATTTGCCTAATAAAATGCCCATCCCCCTCAGCAGCAAGAAGTGAAAATGTTTGAGACAGTCTTGAGGAAATGATGTTGACAAAGTATTCTCTATACTGCTACTACCCGTCAGAGTTAGCTACATCTAACAGTTCTGCTCTTTATTTTTGAGAGACAGTACAGCTAAAGAAGGGACTAAGGCTAGATATAGCAGCAGGATATGTCCTACAGATGAGCTTCAACTAAGAATGTGTTTTTTAAACTTTCCACTTCATTGAAAGATGATCCAAAGCTATACCTGCTTAACACTGCTTAAAAATAAAAAGTATACAAAAGAAAGGTCTTGGGTCAGCAAAGCCTTTGGCAATTAATCTTACTTTATAAGCTGAGGTATGAATAAACTTTGTAGCAGCGTATGGGACCCCTTCACTTTCTGCTTCAGAATAGGGGGGGAAAACCAGAAAGTCTTTAATTAAAGTTCTCTGTTTTGTCCAACCCAAGATACTATGGTTAACAGCTTCAGAAAAAAAACAATGATTTTAAGTTAACTTCAAATCTTGGCTTTGTTACCAGATGACATGTTCTGATCAACATCCCTGTAAAGCCTTAAGGGATTTTAAGTTAACTTCAAATCTTGGCTTTACCAGATGACAAGTTCCGATCAACATCCCTGTAAAGCCTTAGGGTACAAATACATTACCCAAATAGTCTGAGAGATGTGCCAGGGTACTATTGTATTGATGGCTCTGTTCCGACTTTGCCTGGATTTCTTGCCCATAATCACCTTCTTTGGTTATTATTATTATTTTATTTTATTTTTGTATTCTCAAACCTCCAGCACATTGGCAAACAGCCCGAAAAACCTACAACTTTTTTTTTCTTTTTTTAATTCTAAGTGGCATACCACTTGTACATTACCCAAATAGTCTGAGATTTGTGCTAGGGTACTATTGTATTGATGGCTCTGTTCCGACTTTGCCTGGATTTCTTGCCCATAATCACCTTCTTTGGTTATTATTATTATTTTATTTTATTTTTGTATTCTCAAACCTCCAGAACATCGGCAAACAGCCCGAAAAACCTACAACTTATTTCTTTTTTTAAATTCTAAGTGGTATACCACTGCATTATTGAAGACAAAAAGACCCTAATACCTATGTGACGCAGCATTAAAGTTGAAAGGTTTATGTAAATTTTTTTAAAGGGGGAGAGTTCGGACAGCAGGCATAATTGTAGATGTCCTGATGTGACAGTATTCCATGCCACCTTAAACACATCATCAAGACGTCAGTACAGTGAGTACTCCTGCATATAGAATACAACACAGCGGTTCATACAAACAAAAATGGGTTACAAAAATTGCAATGCAGACCTTTTAAAAATTAACAACCTCCTGACAGATGTTCAAAATGAAAAGATTCCTCAAAGAAAAGTGCAAGTTTCTCCTGTACTTGTGTTGTCAGGAAATATCATTTCACATCATGCTAAACTTGGAGTAATCAGAGGAGTGTATTGCAATGTAGTTGCAATCTTACTTCTGCTGAAGTCTTTGTGTGTATGAATGTACTGCACGGAAATGCTGGTGAAAACTGGGAACCTGTTTGGAACAGAAGGTGTAGAGGCCAAATTCTTAGAACAGGAAGATTTAAATCAGAAAAATGGATGGTGGTGGTGGTGGTGGGCTTGCTATGAAATGAGCCTCCCAAAATACAGAAAATTACAGGCATTAGAACTCTGAAATATCCCATTCAATGGAGCTTGCCAGAAGATAGACAGTGCAATTAATGAGACATCAGACATGAATACTTTCCAGACAAAACGTTTGTTATACAGTAGTGCCTCGCTTAACGAGCGCACCGTTTAACGACGAATCCGCATAGCGACACGTTTTTTGCGATCGCTAATGCGACTGAATTGCGATGTTTTAGATAGGGAAAACATCACATTGCAATGATCGGTAAGCGTTTTGCTTACTGATCTTCGCATTGCGATGTTTTACAAACAGCTGATCGGCAGCTCCAAAATGGCTGTCGGGTCAACAAAATGGCCGCTTGCAGCGTTTTTGCTCCCTGCCCTTGCTTACCGTGCGGCGAAAATGGCGGCCGGATGGAGGATTCCCCGCATAGCGGTGAGTTTTTCCCCCAACAGGAACGCATCAACCGTAGGCATTAGAACTCTGAAATATCCCATTCAATGGAGCTTGCCAGAAGATAGACAGTGCAATTAATGAGACATCAGACATGAATACTTTCCAGACAAAACATTTGTTATAATATGTTATTAGAGATGGGCACAAGCTGCTGGTTCAGCAGTCAAACAGCTGATCTGCAGTTTGGCGCCCTTCCCCCTCCAGTCTGCATAGCGACGAATCCGGATAGCGACGTTAATCATGGAATGGATTAACGTCGCTATGCGGGGCACCACTGTAATATGATATTAGAGATGGGCAGAAGCTGCTGGTTCAGCAGCCAAACAGCTGATCTGCAGTTTGACGTCCTTCCCCCTCCAGCAGGTGCCCATTCAGCAGTAGCACCTGGAGGAGGTGGTGTGGAGTGCTGCCGCCAAGTGGGCACCTGCTTTTGTGTGTGTGTGTTGTTTGTGCGCGCGTGCATGCTGAGCTGCGGATCAACTGTTTGGTTGGAAAATAAACAATGCTAAACCACTGAATCAGTGCCCATCTCTATTTGTTACACTAAGAAATCACCTGAATCCTGCCTTTATCAGCCCAAAGTGATTAGCAGCAAAGGACCCTCTGATATTTCCCACCATTAATCCAATCAACATTCTGGACTAGTCTATTGTTTGCTTACACCCTAACTTTCAGAAAGGATTGGCCATGTGCAAGATTACAATCTGGATGAGAAACAGGTATGCACATGACTCACAAGTAGGCCTAGTCACTGCAACATTTCATCCAAAGAATCCTAAAAAAAAGGCATGAGACTACCACATTTCTCATTCTGGCACAGGCCTGCATGCTCTTTATGTCTCCTGCAGCTGCCTTGAAACCTCCTCCAGAATATCACCAACTTTCCTTTGAGCCAACTTCACTAAAGACTTAAATTCTTCTAGAGATCAGATCTAACTGAATACCTTTCTTAGCCCCCAGAATCCAGGATGCAGTCAGACAATCCTCTTAGCCTATATTTCTCCTATATTCCTGGCTCTGGCATAGGACCTCGTTAGCTTGAGATCTTTGCCTATGATTTCTATTTCCCTGCATTGCATCATCAGAGCTACTGTTCCTTCCAACTACAAGACTGTTGAACAAGAATAAGAAGTACTGAATGTCACTCTTGAATCTATTTTAGAGAGTAGTTTCCCTACACACTGGTGACTCCCCATCTATTTCCCCCCTCTTGTATATAAATAAGCACATGGTTAGAGAGAGATTTTTATCCCCCTCTGCCAACTTTGAATTTTCTTTCCTTTCCCTCTTCTCCAGGCAAGCAGCCCTCTCAGCCTTCAAGTTTTGCTATCTTTGAGTTGCTATTTTCCCATATCTGTATTTGTCTATTTTATTTATCTGTTATATTTATATAGTGGTCATCTGGTGGCAAGCCACTACTCTGAGCAGTTTATAAAACATTAAATCAACAACATAAACCCAAAATTATACACAACGCTGACAACAACAAAACCAAACTTTAGCATAAAATAACTGAACACCCACCCACCCCACCCCTGGAGAGCAAAAGCTAAATAAAAAAGTAATTGCACTAAGTGGATCAGGAAATCTCTCACATGGGCAGGAAACTGCTTTGAATAGCACCATTTTGACCTGCTTCCTGAAGGACAGGAGTGAGGGAGCTTGGCATACATCAACAGGCAATGAGTACCACAGTATTGCAGCTACCACCGAGAAGGTCTGGTTCCTGATAAGTCATTTTCCGGGCTTGTCTCTGGGTAAGCACTCACAACAACGAAGCCTGAGATGATCAAGTGGTCCAGGTAGAAACGTTTAACGAGAGATGCTCCAGAAGTACCGACATCTCAAACAGTTAGGGTCTTATAAGTTAAAATCAGCACTTTGGATTTGGCATGGAAGCAAACAGGGAGCCAATGCAAACCTGCCAGAATCAGGGAGACACAATCATATCTGAAAACTCCTGAAATCAGCCTGGCAGTCAAATTTTATACCTGTTGCAAGTATCATATTGCCTTCAAAGGCAGCCGCACATAGTGAGCATTGCAGTAATTAATCCTTGAGATTATAAATGTTTGCCATTCATGCTGCTTTACTATTTATTTATTTTTTTTGCTATTCCTTAGTAGAATCATTATATATAATTTACTTTTGTGTGATCAATAAAACTTGCAAGTTGAGGAGTCCTGCATGAATGTGATATACTCATCCCAAACTGTGCCAAGTCATATTATTGCCATGGTTCAAAGATTCCTTGTGGATGTGTCTCAGAACATGTGTGAGTTCAAACATGTGCTTTGACAGCATTCTGGCCAATGCTTCATATCCTTGCTTATTCCAAAGCCATTTCTGTTTAGATGATAAGGGAAACTAATGGGCACCTGTGGAATTAAAGTGGCTGTTCATGTAGAAAAAGGTTCATTCATATCTCCACTTCTGTTGAAAGCTATCACACCTTCTCTCTACATCAAGAGATACTTAGTGGACCTAGAATTATCTAAATGTGTAAAATATGTACATTAACCTGAGTACTCATATTACATGTATGTACTCTAATAAATTTTTCCATGGCTTTGGGGAAGCTATTTTTAAAGGATACATACCCTTTTAATGTCAGTGATGGCGCTCACTGAACTGGGGTATTTGAAGTAGTCCGCAAGCATTGCAATGAGGTGGTCAGTAATACTGGCAATTCTCTGTAGCTCAATATCTGCTTCAATCAAATAGGCAAGAGTTTCTGCTCCATCAACTCTCTCTTCGAGTAGCCTCTCTTTACTACACATCCTTGCCAAACATGGTAGGGTCTGAAGAGTACAAAAATGCAGTTAGTTTGACAATTAATACATACATGCACGCACACATAGAGTACAAAAATGCAGTTAGTTTGACAATAAATACACACATGCACACACTTTCATTTAAAAAACTTTTTAGATACGTCACTTATGATTTTATTTTTATCTGATTAAATATGTTTTCAAAATCTATGTACAAGCTGTTGCTGATATTCCTGTGTCATCATAAACATTATTAATGATACACAACCAAGAACCCTCTCTGGCTAGGCCACCATCCACTTACACCTGCCTGGGTTTATCCCGATTGATCAGTGGAACTTCACATAGACTGATACAGTGCTATAACAGAATAATATTACCTCCCTAAAACCTCAAGGTTAACAGCAGCTGTTCTAAAGGAAGGGACAGGAGTGCCCTGTCCTGCAATTCACCACAGAGCACTATCTACTTTTTAGGTTGATCCTCATTTCCTTCATTTGCTCTTCTCATTTCCAGATACCTCCTCAGATACAGTACACCTCTGCAGTACACAAAATAGTCTTTCCCCCTCTAATGATTGCACAACAGAAATTTATGGCAAAAAAAACCCAAGGCAAAATATTCACTAATAGCAACCTTTAATCCATTTTAAAGGACTTTCCACATACAACATTCTGCTGCCATCTTCACATTTAGCAAAGACAGGCCAACAAAAATCCATAGGAGAGAAAGTACTTCTTTCATGAATACACAACTGAACTCATTGACTTCTAATCACATCATGTAAAACAGTTGTCTTAGCTGTTTTCTAATAGCATTATCAGAGACACTGGTTTTGATTACAATATGCATTTCTGATAGTTTATAACCAACTCACCTTTAATACAATGCAGATATCATCAGTGCGGATTGCTCCAGCTCTGCACATGTAAGTAAGGCTACAATGAAACATTAAAAAGCTAATTTACTCCCGAGTATGATATATCTAGGCAATAAAAAAATGGGGGATTAGATGGTTTACCCTAGTCCAAAGACAACTATACCTTTTTTATTAATGGCTAACTTGAATCTAACGTGTATTTTAGAGTTTTTAAATAAAATATATTTTGGCCTAGGTTACTGATAAAGAATTTTAATAATGGCTTAGAACATGAAATTTAAAATAGTGAAACTTCTGCAGAATACTCCAACTTTTTAAAAGCTAAACCTTTATAAAGCTGGGAGAATGCACTGCATGACATTTGCTAGATTTTCCTGATAGCAATAGTCCAGTCTTCTTCAGTTTGGTGTCTTCTCCAGATATTCACTAAAGCTCCTATGATCCTCAACCAACCATGGCATTAAATTAGGAAAAAGATGGCACAGAGGACAGCTGCACTAAGTGAAAAGCTGCCTTACAACAGGAGAAGCAATTGTCCCTATAGGCCAGTACTGACTAGCTACACTAACTAGCTTTACCGAGCTTTAAGAAGAGTGGGTCTCTTCCATACACTAACTAGCTTTACCGAGCTTTAAGAGTGGGTTTCTTCCATCAGCTGACCTCTAATCCTCCCCTCTGGACATGCCAGCACATGAAACTGAGTCCAGGTCCCTGTTTACAGTGACATCATAGCATGTATCACATTTACACATATGCATAATTTTGGAACAAATGTGATTTGTTTTGATAGTCTAAGAAACGAAGCATCTTCCAATCATTGAAATGTAGTTTTTAATATTGTTAGTAATTGTAGAGGCAAACAATAGACTAAAGTAGATAGCAAACTTTTCACTAAGGCTGATTTAAAGGATCATAAACTCTGTTATGTTCAGAATTACATGTGAGCTAGCATGCACGAGTAAAATGTGTAAGTGTTCTTTCTTCTAGATTTTGGAGAAAATTACCATTTAGCTGATGTGAGTTGCATTTCAATAGGTTTGTCTCTTTGTAACATGTTCACAAAAATCTGTGGTAATAATTCTCCATTGACCAACACTGAGAAGAAGAAAAAAAAATAGTTTCAGTAAATAATTAAATTCCAATTGCAGTATGAATTTGTATATTGACCACTAAAACTTTGAGCTTACCATTTACAAGAGTCATTGACACCTGGGGGTTTTCAAAGGCTAAAACTGCAAAGCATTTCAGTGCTTGCATTCGAACCTGTACAAACACATAGCAATTATATTTAAGTTTTATGTAAATTCAATGACAACTATCACTTGATTTAAATTTTAAAAAATCATTTATACCTAGAAAGTTTTTTAAAACCGTAGGACTATGTGACTAAAGCCATGGTTCTTAAAGCATGAGGCAGGCTTTCCAAAGAGAGGCATACAATCAGTGCTCCAGAGGAATGCCTCCAACCTCTCTGGAACTGATTTTTCTGCACTTCAATTTGTGCAGAAATCTCACCTCAGTCCTCTTTTCACTGAGAGCTAATATATCCAAGCTTGGCCTTCTACATTCTCATAATACAAATCAGGGCCTTGTCAATCAACTTTATCTTTCACTCTACTCCTTAATTCCTCCCAACCCCAATATTTTAATCTACCCAGAAAAGCCTCTGTTTTTCACCTTCATGTTAATGTACATGCCTCAGCTTCCTTTTCTGCATGATTTTTGAGAAATGTATACAGTATATGGTATTATAGAGCCATATCTCAGTTTTTCTTTTTGCTAAGCATTTCTGTTGTCATTTTTAGAGAGTGCTTTTCTGCATTGTTTTGAGGATAAAAAAAATTCATCATTATTATCTCACCAGTTCTTCACACCCTTCTTCACATGCAGGACTGTAAAGTTCATGCATCTCAATTTCCTACTTCTGTCTCATGGGCTGCTGTGGATTCAAAATACCCTCTTCTATTTTGCTCAAAATGTATTTTTATCCCACACACAGGTCTTGGCTCTTTCTATGGTGGCCCTGTCTTCTACCCCACTAGACCCAGCTGCCGCTGCTTCTAACAACCAGACTATTTGTCCACCCAGCCCAGCACAGTCTACTTTGAGTGACAGCTCTTCAGAATCCCAGGCAGATATCTCCTACCTCAACAGCTACCAAAGACACAAAGATCCTACAGGTGTCTACATCCTAGTAACATGCCTAATAATATCGGATATGTGCCATAGGCTTAAACCAAGACATGTGTTACGGAATGATTTCACGAATTATGGATCAATTTCTAAACATTTATTGGAGATCTAGGTCACTAATCCTGTTTTGTAGGTTAATATTAGATACAACTATAAGGAGTATGAAAACCCCCAAATAAAATCATACAGAGCCTATTTATTTTCCACAACTCACTGGAGAACAGTAACAGCAATATCAGTAATCTACCAAACTACATTATTAAATATGCATTGCTTTAATATACAAAGTACAGTGGCTGCATATGTGAAATATCTTCTTGTAATGCCAATCTGTCTCATGCTCTTACATAAATCCCTTGGAGACATATGGTATTAAAATAGTGCAAACTATGTATAAAATCTTTACCAGTGAATTGATTTATCTACTCAACAATGACCCATGTTAGCTCCCTTAAAAATAGCAAGGTCACACAGTAATACTTAAAACAGGCAGTTCACCTTGATCATTATAGTTGCAGGCATTTATTTAAATCATTTATTTAAATCTTTCCACGAAACATGGCTGCACTCTAACTGGGTAACTGCATTCAAAATCATTAGCAGTTAACAACTAAATAAGTAAAGAAAAAGCCCAACACCTGTCCCCCTTAAACAGCAAGGCAAACAAGATTCAGTTTAATATATTATCATGCCAACAGGTCAAAATAATAAAATATAACACAATAAATCTTCATGTAAAGCAAACCTGCACTTTGACTCATAGACATAACCCCAAATAATCTCAGCAAGGGTTCATCCCACCTACAGGTTGTACAAAAAGTCTATCTAAAACTAAAAATAATCACAGTCCACAGATGGTCTCACTATCTTCCAAGGCATATCTCCCCACTCTGGAATATGGACAACATGGACTGGCTCTACATTTCAGTTCCCCTTTTGTTAAACTTACTACTAGATCTGGAAAAAGATTATTAAAAGAACCACAGAACTGTAGAGTTGGAAGGGGCTGCAAGCCTCATAGAGTCCAAACAATGGATGAACAGGAAAATCCACAGTTAAACCTATTATTGCAATTTATTATTAAGATTTTTATAGTAATACAGAGAACCTGCTGAGATGAGCTCATTAACATATGTAATGCGATAAATACATCTGTCTCTGTTCAGGTCAAGGGAGTTAAAGTTCTTTAGAATTATGGAGCCATATAACATTGAGCTGGAAGAGACTCCAACAGTCATCAAGTCCAATCCCCGGCTGAAGTATAAAATCCACAGCAACAGTATCCCTAACAGATGGCCATCCAGCCACTTTAAAACTCCAAGAAATGTGAGTCCACCATCACCCTAGGCAGCCCATTCCACTTCTGAACAGCTCTAACTGTCTTGTTCAGCCAAAATCTCTTTTCTCACAATATGAATTTATTATTTTGCATCCTAGCCCCTTTTGGAAAACAAGCTCCTCCACCTTCCATGTGACTATCCTTGAAGTATTTCAAGATAGCTACCACTTGCAAATCCAAGATGGCACTTCTATAGTCCTCATATTCACATGTTAAATTGTTCTGGAATAAGGCTTTCACTGCCACTTACTGAACTGGGCCTTTGTGTATGATAGCTGATGGCAAAGAATGAATTCATCCATTGCAGTCTTTAAACACACCATGTAACTACTTATTTGCTTTCAGTTCTCCATGTAAAAATAAACACAAATATCAGTAAGATACAATGTGCAGGTTTCACAAATTTGTCATCAATCAAGCTTCTTTCTTGCCCATGTTACAATACAGAGATAATGCTGCTGAGCAGAGTTAATAATAATCATTATGCTCCACTCCACATGTCCTTAGCTATGGAACATTTAACTTCTTTAATTCCACCTTAATTCTGCCATCATTATAACTCACAGGTAACTACAGTAAATTGTTTTTATCTTGAAGAGCAATATACTTGTTATATACAGTCGCACTGCAGACAAGTACTTGCCAATGGTAATGTTACATCTTGTGAGGGACAACACTGCCTTGAAACATGCCACAATCTGAGGTTTTTTATGCTTTCCCTTCCATGATTTTCTCCTTTATTTCCCCCACTTTCTTCTTTATCTATTGCACTGCAGACCCCAAAAAATTCCTCTACAGCATGGCTGAGGAATCTCTGTCCCTCTGTACACGTGCTCTGTAGGAAACACTCTTTGTGAAGTCTCCTTCACATCTGTGTACCCACATCACAGAAACAGCGAAAAATATGTACAGTCCCTTGCCCTACAATGGAAGCAGCTACATTTACACATTTATTCGATTAGTGGTGTTCCACCAAGTTTTCAAAACGGTGACTTTCTTTACAAAAGAGAAATCATATTAGTGCCTTACCTTATAAGATGTAGCCGTTAACAGATGAGCAATATTCTGAACTGCTCCATGGCTGAACAGGACTGTCTGGTAGTCTGGTCCCTATGCAAAAAAAAAAATCTTTACTGTATATGCATTGTAAATGGAGAGGGGAGACAATTCTTTATTGTACTTCATAATGCTCTACTGCAGGTGTATTCATCTTCAAGGCTCATTTAATTTACTTGGAGATAAGACCAGAATTGGCTTTTCATTGTACTTGACTTATGTTTCGGCTGCAGCTCAAGAAGAAGCTAGCATTTAAAAGAAAGAGTCAAATTATATCTTTAACTATGTAGCGTAATGCTGTGTGCCATATTATTTCTTTCTAAAATAGCAATTCAGGTGGATGGCGGGGCACTGCTTGAGAGCAGGATTACAAGAAAAGTTAACTCTCCCAAGCACTTCAAATTTGAGAGAATCTGCCCCCTTCAAGCTATACTTTACTTTTGGGGGAAAAGTGCATGGAGTTTTCAGGGGGCAAATATTTTTAGAAGAGGTGGGTCAATAAAAATGCTGCTAATAGCTATTTAAAAAAACAGAAAAAAACATGCACATGGGCAAAATACCTTCAATATAATGTTCTGTTTGGCCTGATGGATTTTATTTTTCTGAATTAAAATTACACTTCTTCATTCTTGCAACATTTAAAATGAATCAGTCTTATAAATGGTTCTCAGATTACACTTATACTAATTTTAAAAGACAATCAAATATGGAAATGAGTTTCTTATATAAAAATAAAAACTAATGTATACAATAATGATACACGCTGTGTTATGAAGGTGTTCTAAAATCTGGAAGCTGCAATGAAATGAAACCCTCAGCTTTTACTTTATTGCCATGTCAGCTCTAATCCTGGAAGTATCACTGTGGCATACCCTAAAACAGACAACAATATTTAGTGCTCTTTTAATCTGGTTAACTAAATCTTGCAGGAGAGCAGAATAGGAGAGAGAAACTTGACGACCTCTTAGTCAGTTGTACAATGAGGAAAATTCCTAAGTGTTTTGGAAGATGTGGCTCTCAAATGGATAATCAATCACTTCTACTTCAATGAGTCATGTCTTTGCCATTTTCTGACTATCTTTTTATAAAGGCTTTCAAAGTAAACGAGTAACAATTGAATAGAACTGGCACTAATATTCTCAGGTTTTGTGCTTAAAAGGGAACTTTCTAACCTTTACAGCAGCAGATTTTTTGCGCATGATAACTGGCCAACTAAGTCTTGAGAAACAGTTTTCTTCAATACAAAACTGCAGCTGTGCATGATCACCAATGGACAACTCTACAGCAAAACACATTACTATGCACTCTGTACAGCACAGATTATTGGATCCTGTGTGGGCATGGAATGTAGAGGAGACAGATATATCTAAAATTGAAGTTGACATATGTTGGAGAAAATAATGTGCAGGAGGACACACCACCAATTGTGCCATGAAGTTAAAAGAAATATCGGCCTGCTTGAGTAAGGAAGCATGATCCACAACATGTAGAAATACAGACTGCACGAGAATATATACATGTTATGGGAAACTTAAGGTAGAGAGGTTTTGAGTTGGTTAAATCACAAGGACCAAGGAGAAGTGCTAAATAATGGAAGGGCAGGTGGCCACTTAATGAAGGATATTTATTTAAACATGTATATATGCTATCTAGAAAAATGTATCAAAATTAGAAACTCTGAAAATAGTTTAAAATGAACCTTTAAATCAGCAATGAGAGAAAAAGCAAAAGATGACATGAAAAAACACAGACTATGAGATGCTTTTAATGCTGCTTTACTTATAGTTACTATAAAAGATGAAAACGAAAATGAGACAGTTTAATATGGTTAAAAAAACTTAATGCTAATTTGATCACTTCTGGTGATTCACAGTTTTTAATGTGAATTCTTTATACAGTGACTATTCATTTCTTTGACTATTTGGATTACTTCTGAAATTATCTACAGCTGGACATTACCTCTTTTCCTACTGTACTTGTCTTTATCATCTGAACCCCTTTCAGACTTTATAATACTTGCATAACACATAGTGAACACATGTGCTACTAAGCTGCTTCCAAACTATAATGACCCTATGAATTAATGATTTTCAAAAGGTCCTATCACTAACTATCATGCTCAGGTCTTTCAAACTGAATGTTATGGCTTGCTTTACTGAATTAATCAATCTCACATTCAGTCTTTCTCTTTTCCTGCTACTTTAACTTTTGTGAGCATTACTGTCTTTTCCAATGAGTCTTGTTGTTTCATGATACAGTGGTGCCCCGCATAACAAGCGATTCGTTTAACGACGAATCCGCATAGCGATGTGTTTTTTACGATCGCAAAAGCGATCGCATTCCAATGTTTCTAATGGTAAAACATTGCTTTGTGATGATCGGTAAGCGTTTCGCTTACCGATTTTCGCATAGCGATGTTTTTTAACAGCTGATCAGCGGTTCCAATATGGCCGCCGGGTAAAGAAAATGGCCGCCCGCTGTGTTTTCGCGCCCTTTCCTCGCTTACCAGGCAGCGAAAATGGCAGCCGCGTGGAGGATTTCTGCATAACGGTGAGTTTTTTGCCCATAGGAACGCATTAAACGTGTTTTAATGCGTTCCTATGGGCTTTTTTTGCTCTGTATAGTGACGAATCCACATAGCGACAATTTTTTCGGAACGGATTATCGTTGCTATGCGGGGCACCACTGTATACCCAAAGTACAGTAGTCCCAGTTTAGTCATTTAGCTTCTAGTGAGAGCTCAGGTTTAATTTGGTCTCAAACCTCCAGAAACCCAGAAATAAAGTATTACATATTGTATTCTCACAAAGAACCCTATCTCCAGTTTTGTCTCTTTCACCGAACATGAATCATAAAAAAAAATCCAAAAATACATATTCTACCAAAGTAAGTTATATAAAAAACACTGACAAGAAAATACTGATTTGCCTATCCCATCAGAAATCTATTCACTAATTTTGCTTTTTAAAATAATGCTTTGACTTAACCAACCAATCAGTTAAGGCCAGAGTCAGTTTCTAAACAACAATAAAATATTTAATGAATGATTGTACAGGGGAGCTAGTGCTTAGGTTTTTCTTTGTGATCAGAGCCTAATGAACTTTTGTACTTGGTGTAAACAAAGACTACTGCCCCACCCCTGCCTCATGGCTAGTTAACCAGTAGAGGTTTCTTATTTAGTACACATGTCAAAAACACATTACAATATGTTCCATTTATTATTCAAAAGTATTAATAGTACAGGAGTCCTCTCTTAACTCTCATGGCTCCAAATCAGAGCAACAGAACACTCTCTTATTTAAAAAAAAATGATTTGCCGAATGAAACACATACACACATCCTGACTCAAATGAAACCCTGTTATGCTAAAAGTAACCAACATAACCATGTCCAAGAAGGATTAGGACTTTTAAGAGAGATTTCAGCTACTATCACTGACAAAGTTTATAGTTAAAAATGCAATTAATATAACCATTTTGTAGGGAAAAAAACTTACATTGGCACATAGAAGTGGCTGAGGCGAAGATTTAAAGCCGCAGCTATGCCAGTGTCGGAGCTGAAGAATAGATATTAAAAGATATGAAATTAAAGTCAAGTATAATTTTGTCAGATTACTTCTTTATCCTGCACCTTAAGTCGGCACTGCGGACATATTCCCTCTCTACTCCCCCACAATTTTTTTTCAGATACAATATATGAATTTCAACCCTCATTTGATAGGTCTATGTGCAATGTTTTATGTAAAGAACCCCACAGGGATCCATTGTGCTTTCAGTTATTACTATTTGATTCACAACACATTCCTACAGAAAAGCAATATACAATTTTCAGAAATATATGTGTATTTTAGATGCATTGGTAGCTACTGCAGAAGCTATGAATTTGAACTGGAGATCACAAAGCCTTTAGTTCAGACCTCATTTCTGAAAAGCAGTGTTTACAACAAGGATGACAAAAGATGAAAATCAACTAGCAGATCTGTGGGTTACCTGCGATAGTAAGATTTTTCAATTCCAAACTGACAAAATACAAGGAAAAACTTTTCTGCCATGACTAGCTTTCTATTAATTGCTTCAGTGCTCTTCACCAGTAAAATTTCATATTAACTGGTTGCCCTCTGATCAAGTCTTTGTACAAATCTGCTGGCCAACTTTAAAGCTGTGCACAGAACTACTTTTAAGACTCTTGACCTGTAATAATTCATATATGGATGGTTTACTTGTATATGAAGGTTTTTGGATAATGTAGCATGTAACTGGCCCAGCCTCGTGAGCTATATCTTCAGTGTCTGTAACTTTGTCTTTGGTTCAGATTGGTGGATCTCTAGCGAAGCACAAACATTCTAGGCAGCCTTATGCAAGCTAATCTATGGCTTAGTGCACCTTCTGTAGTAATACTGGGATAACAGTGGAAAGTACAAAAAGTGGGATAACACCAGTCTACCTACTTATAACAATCCTATTGTAAGGATTACTGAGACTATAGTATATGAAGTACTAAGGACAAGCTAAGTATTATTGTACTATAATATTAGTTGCTTTGTATTCTGTTCAATGCAAATAGGGTTCTTTACAGAAAAAAGGGGTTAGATTTACCGGTAACTTTCCCATGTAAACTGCAAGTTGCTACATCAAATAAAATAACTTCTACAATCTTTTAAGAATGGTTAAGAAATTTAAAAGTTATACTTCTGCTTTTCCAGTTTTCTACCTAATCTCCTGCATACACTGCATTTAATCTGTGTTAAACCAATATACATATGTTAAAAGAGATGATTTCTAGCAGTAAGTTTAATTTTAATAATTATTCTCACAAGGTTGAAAATGCTCTACATTTTTCATAAATATCCAATTTTCCAGCATTTTGGCAAATAGTTTCTGTCCACTTAATACTGAATAACATGTGTATATATAGGTCATATTTTGAAGCCAGGCATTTCTAGAAATGGCCTCCACTGAGCTGTCAGACATAAATGAAAGCTGTAACCCTCATTCACCCAGGACTAATAATCCATACTGTATAATATATTTCTAAAATGATACACAGCCCTTGATAAAATTATCACTTATTTATTTATTTATTTTATTTATATCCCGCCTATCTGGTCAAGCGAGGACCACTCTAGGCGACTTATCGACTGCATTGGTCAGACAACAGCTGTTACAGTTTATTTCTGTTCTGTAATATTTGCATCTGCTTGAGCTATATTTACACAAGACCCTGACTAATCAGGATATTTTATATCTGCTACCAAATGGGCTGATAAACACACACAAAAATCGTGTGTGGTAGCAATCCTCCTTCTCAGTGATACAACTTCAGACTGCAGCTGTGAGATCATGTTTTAAAGCCCTTTGCCTGCCTTCCGAACTTTTAATTTAAGATTGTTTCTTCCAGAGTTATGCTGGTTCTGCATTTGCATAAAAAGAAACAATGCTCTAATTTATAGAGTTTTGGGTCACAAAATCATCTAAAACCTATTGCATTAGGTTTTTAGCATGGGACTATTTCAACACTTGTGAGCACATGCAAAGTACCCAAGCCTAACAAAACCCACTAATAATTTACAATAGTTTTCAGGGAGGAGAAAAGGAAATGACAGGCAGTACTCATGGATGTTGTAGTCTACACAGAAGTATCACCGTAGTTCTGTAACACCCTATACAGTTTTTCTGGGGGGAGAGGTGCAAGTTTTGCATCCCACGAGAGAGTATCTTATGTTAAATCCACATTTAAAATACAGAAAACCTTCAATTTTAAAGATATCAGCATAAATTTTAAGGGAAGGTCCTGCAAAATTCCAAGAAAATCTCTGTACGCTTTTGGGGGACTTTATACTTTATACAAACATTTTGGGAACAACATTACAATGCCTCAAATACAAGATACACTAATAAGATAAAATGATAAAATCCACATTGACAAGTAGGAAGACATTCAAATCATCATTTTTGAATTGGATTCTGGATTATAGGGCTAGAGTCTGGAGGCATATACCACACAGATTTTCTGCCAATTTGGTCAACCAAATACCTCAAGTCCAATTTGAAAAAAATACGTAGAAGATATAAGATTCAGCATAAAATCTGACGTGGTATGTATAATGTTATATTATATTGTATTATATTAACACTGCACATTTTTGTTTATATATTATATGAAGTTCTAATATGCAGTGACAATTTTTGCCCATCTAAACAATCTGAAATTATATTAAGTAGGACAGGTTAGTTGCTCTGCAGAAAAAAAAAGTGGTTCACATTGTTCAGATATGCGAGCTTGTTAGAAACTAAAATTTTATAAGTCAGTTTGAGAGTCTTTTTCCTAAATTAACTTAGTGTTAGTTTATCTTTTTATTTTATGATCAAGAGTCCAGAAATCCTGTAAGAAAACAAAAGAAGAAATTCTACTGCATCTGGCCCATTATTTTACTCAATACAACAATTATCTTGATGAAACAGTGTTTTAAAAGCCAAAATAAAAAAAGAAAGGAGGGAAGACTTGGTTTTACAGACCCCTCTAGAGAATATTCATGCTCCTTTCTTACTTTGCAGCAATGAGAGAAGATCTGACATATGTATTCTTGAGTGTATCGAGACCTACTGAGCAGAGTCATGAGGTGGGGAATAACTGTAGCATCCTAGAAAATCAGGAAACAAAACTGAAAATTAAAACTAAAAATTTTAACACCAGAAAGTAGTTTACTATATATTTGTTACATGTATCCACTAAGCCCTTCCCTGTTTTGAAGTCACAATGAAGCAACCAGCCTGAAGTTCTAAAACAACATTTTAAATTTATACATAACTGAGACTAACCAGCACATTGACAAGTCTATACTGCAATGAAACTTTTCAGAACAAAATAACTGGCAGCAGTAGATATTGTCACAGTATTTATAATTTCAACTTAGCTTATGAAATATGTACATATAACTTTTAGCGCTGCTAAGAACTACTCAGAAAAAGATGGGCAAGGTTCATGAAAAGCTTAGAATCATCAGAACATTCAAAGATTTCTAGTCTTTTTTAAAAGTAAAAATATATCTGTTTAATTTAGTTCACTAGTATTGCATTTGTTGAAGTTTCTATTTAATACAACTACCATCATTTATTAGTAAAAAAACCACCAACAATATACAAATCACTTTACAGAGCAACACAAGCAAAGGACAGATCCCTACTCTGAGAAATGCAATATCGCAAGGTACAGTACTTTCAGGACTTTATTTGACTGCTGTCATTAGTCTGCAAGTAGCCGATCACTTACTGACGGCAGCCTATCAGAATCTTCTTGTGCTTGCTCCTTCCCTAAGAATAAGTCATCATGCAGACAACTGAGCAGTCAATGTCAAAGGGCTAGCAAACTTTATTCAGTTTACTAGATTAAAAAAAACATGGTTTGGTATCAATGATTTTAAATATAGCCAATGCTTTCTGGAATTATATGGGTGATTTGGCTTTCCTGTCAGCAAATTTTCTACACAATGGGGATGGTAGAAACCTCAGTGACAACAACCTCTTGCCACAGATAGCAGTCACTTTTACAAGAATTACTCAAAAGTCAAATTTCCATTGTCATTACTATGGCAGTCTTTCCTATTCCTAATTATGAAGATACAGAGGAGACAAAGTACAGAAATACTAAGTAAAATTCAACATTACTCTTATCTAGACTAGATTTACTGAAATCAACAGGGGTACTAATTGTGAGTAACATATATCACTTTATTAAAATGGGTCTCCTCTAGCTAGAACTAATACTGGATTTTCTCCTGCTTTATTACCAATAACTGAACGCAGGAAAATGGGCCTTACAGTATATGTCCAATGTACTGCTTTTATTCTTTAGAGTGTACATCCATGCACAGAGTCCGCATCAGAAATCAGGACCGGATGCCTTCCAAGGCCTACCAGCAAGATGACCTCACTGCCAATCCCTGAGAATCTTCTTTCTTTTTCCTCCCTGTATCCCAATGCTGATTCGCCTGTCCCCTCTCAGCATGAAAGTGACAAATAATAAGGAGATGGGAGAATGTAACTCACTTGCCCCCAACAATCCTTTCAACAGTTGTGTAGATAAGGCCCAGAAGGAAAGGACAAGCATGAAGCCAGTGAGAAAGGGAAGACAATACAGATACAACCATTTAAGCAATACCACTAGCAATATGTTTGCCATGTGTTCATTGAGTTGCCATGACATATTCTGTCAGTATTCTGTCAGTACGAGGGGGGAGCAAGCTTGCTTCTCCCAATTTAAGGCATACTCAGCAGTAAAGAGGACTACCAAGGTATATTCCCAGTCTCCAACTGGTCAAGCTTCAATGTGTCCCTTCTCTTCTTACTTCTCTGTAGTTTAAACCTAGTAATCTACTGAAGTCTGGGAAAGAGACTTTGTCCAAAACACACCCCAAAGCATGAGCTCCAAACTTTAAATATTTTCAGGGGGTGCCGGCCATGAAAGCCTTCGAGGATATGTAGGGGATACAGTGGAACCTCTACTTAAGAACGTCCCTACTTAAGAATGATTCAACTTAAGAACAGCTCTGTTTGCTAAATTTTGCTTCTACTTAAAAACCTGGCTCTTTAGACAGGCCTTCCCTCCTGCCAGTACTTGATTTTTATCTTTATTTATTTCTGATGTTTACTCTCCCATCTTGACTATATTATTGTATTAAATGTGGTTTTAATCTGTTTTTGTGTTTAATATTTATGAGCTGCCCTGAGTAGACTTTTGTCTAGAAGAGCGGAATAAAAATCCAATAATAAATACTTGAGAACGGAGCTCCAAGATAAGAACGGGAAAAAAACTTTCCTGCCCTTTTTTTTAACCTTAGGTCATCTTAGGTTTTAAAAAAATTTCTCCCCCTAGTGGTAGAGTACGGATTAACCGGAATTGCATTAGTTCCTATGGGAACTAATGCTACAACGTACGAACGCGCCTCTACATAAGAACTAAAACGGCCTGAACAGATTAATCAGTTTTCAATGCATTTCTATGGGAAATTTTGCTTCAAATAAAGAATGTTTCAACTTAAGAACACCATTCCTATACGGTTTAAGTTCTTACGTAGAGGTTGCACTCTACTTTCAAAACAGAGCATCCTTGGATGGTCAGAGAAGTGGTAAGGTGAAAATGAACTTAGGGAGATCCAGGGCCTTTTTGTTAAGATCTGTTGTGGAAGCAGTGGTAACTGCTGGACCAATTCACTAGTCAAAAAATTGCACATGAATAGAAAGATCAGTGTATGACTTGTTGCATTGGGGCATGCCTAATTCAGTATTTAATTCCAATACATTTTCCACTCAAAAGTTATATCAGTAAGGACAATCACAGAAGTAAAGCAACCTTATATATATTAAATCCAAAGCCCAAAATCCTTGTGTTAGCTTTAAAAATAACAAAAGCTAACAAATCCATCTCACTGTGAGCTTCCATGGATTACAATCCACATTTTTGACACATAAGAATATAATACTGAGGCCACAGGTTTATAGACAAAAGGTACATAACTGTTGGAGAGGGGACTGTATGAAAGGGGATACAGAAGAGGACAAACAATAACATACTTCTGAAATGATGATTGCATAAACATCTTGAGAACAGATAAAATGAAACTTGTTCATATAAAATGTCTGTAGAAATACAAACAAAATGAAACAGACTAGCATAACTGCTTCATTGAAAGAAAAATCTTAGTTGAATAAACAAATATTCTAATCAAGTATCTCCAGATAAATTTCAATATGAATAAAAACGATTCATACTATGAGTAAAAACTACTATAATTTTTTTCTAAGGGAAAAAAATATATATTCTGTCCTTAGGTGAAACATACCCAAATCATAACAGCCACCATTCCAGTATTTTTTTCCCCCAGAGGAAAATCTCACTATTATCCTTAATTCTGTGAACATTTGTTTGCAAACACACCTCCCATCATTAAAATAGTACCTATCAACATCTGTTCACTGATAAGAAACCTATACAATATGTTCTAGGAGCAAGAGAGCCTGGACAACCTCCACTTCCCATTGAAACATTCCTCTATCTCAGGTCACAGGGGCGCTTTTGGAAATTAAAAAAAAAATATAGCTCTTATCCCTTATGACTATGACCGCCCCCCCCCAGGCTGCTGGCAAATCTGAAAAATGGCTTTTGGCCTCAGTGAGACTGCATACCCCTGGTCTAGCTACTGAGAGCAACAGCATCTAGATTCCTAGACCAAGAATACAGTGAGCTTGGTATAGCTACCAATGATATTCCTCCAATACCTATTGTTCCCTTAAGACCAGTGGAGGAGATGAGTGCCACTGTTGCTAGCTGTAATAGAGAATTCAGAATAAAAATGTCTACCAACCCATTCCAAACTATTACTAACAGATTCTTAGACTTGCAAAACCAGAGATTCTTCAGTTTTGTTCTTCCTTCACAATAAACTACTGTACATGAACTGCAGGCTTCAAAGCACCAACATTTTCTTCCTCTGGTTCAAGATTAAATTTGTTCTCCAAAAATATTGTCCTACTGCAAATGCAACACACTTCTTTTCAGTTAATATAACCAAAGCAATTACGTGAACACATGACCTACATGACCTAATAATAAACATCTTCCAAAACACTGAACAAAATCGCCAACTGTTAGGTCAAACCACTTTAACATGCATTTTACACCATACACATTTTTCTGACAGTTTTTGTTTTTTATTATACTTTATTAGATCACTTTATTATGTTGGTGTGGAAACCATAAATATTGCTGACAAATCTTTAGGCAGAAAAGTCAGATAAAGTCTTAACTACAGTGGTACTTCGACTTACGAACGTCTCCACTTGCGAATGCTTTGAGTTATGAATGGCTCCATTCGCAAAATGTTGCTTCGACTTGCGAACAGAGCCTCAACTTACAAACGGAAAAAAACCTTTCTTGCCCTTTTTTTGCCTAAGTTCATCTTAGGTCAAAAGAAGAAGAAAAAAATTCTCCTTTTAGTGGTAGAGTACGGATTAACTGGCTTTGCATTAGTTCCTATGGGAACTAATGCCTCTACTTACGAACAGTGGCTCGACATACGAATGAAAAACAGCCTGAACAGATTAAATGATTTTCAATGCATGCCTATGGGAAACCTTGCCCCGACTTACGAACTTTTCGACGTATGAACGCCGCTCCAATACGGATTAAGTTCGTAAGTTGAGGTACCACTGTACTTCTGTCCTAACAGATGGCAGCAGTGGCATTCAGTTCTCCGGACCGAAAACTCTCACTGATTAAAAATCTTGGAGGAAAACAGAGTAACTCTTCAGAGGCACATACTGTGAGTGACTCACAGAGCACCAGATCCTCTGAAACTGCTTTTTACTTTCTAATTGCAATGTCACTGCCAAATCAGTATGTCAACTGATGCATGTTGTCATGTTTGTTCCTGTTACAACTAGGAATTAATTGCTAGCTTTACTAGAACTGTAGCAGTTCAAACTACAAATGCTCAAAATGATCTTGGCAACACACACTAAACAAACACTACAATGTATGAACTAGTATTGCAGAAGGAAAAAGATATGCACCTACTGCCTATAACTTACCGTGTACAATAGTTCTTCTGGAGTTACAGGGCTGGTGAAAATGGTGCGAAGACACCTGAGGCAAGCTTCAATAAATTTAAGATCTGGTGACAGTAATCCTGTGAATACAAGTTGAGATACTTTTTCCAGTTCTCACAGGTTGTGCACTCAAGAAATATCCATGGTAATGAATGTGAAGGTACCTTGTAGTAAGGCTGGTATGATATGGCAGTCCAGTAGAGATTTAACATTGTTTTCTGTACCCATTGCAAGGCTTCCTAGCACCACGGCACATTCAGTTTTCAGTTCAGTGCTCGAGGTTTCTTGCTGAAGCAAGTACAGCAACCTATATATGGAAACAGAAAATAACAGTTTGAATTAAGAGAACATAATCCAAACACACCACTCTTCTCCATAAAAGGAAGGAGATTCTCTGAAGAGCAAAAAATTAATACAGTATTCAATGTTAATTTAGCACAAGGCATACACTAGGTACCACAGCAAGCACAAAAAAGATGAAAGCATTCCCTAGAGACTGCACGAGATGGATGGATGAACCAAAGATATTATTCTTCAGTAAAGGAAGAGAAACCCTGAACAGATTCTTAGTCTAAGGATAAAGAGTTAACATGGCAGCAAACGCTGGGATAAGTGACTGAAAGGACACAAAGTGAAATGAGGAAAGAGATGGGGTTGAGATAGAGATGTAACCATGAGGACAAAAACATATGGCAGAAAAGCATAGGCATCTCACAGTACACTTTCGAAAGTATTACAAAGGAGTTTCAATAACGATAAATAAAGTGGCATCTCAGAGAACACAATTTAAATGAAAAAACAAAATGGTATCACTTTAAAATTAATATGCATCTTTTTTTAAAACTGGCATGCTGAAAAGCCAAAAAGTACAGAGAAACATTTAATTTGTAAAAACCAGCTCTTTTGGGATTCGGAGCTGAGATGGTTTGCATATCCTATTCCCTGATATAATGGGACATTATTTGACAATAAATATGCAGAGAACATAACTAAAAGCCAAACAGTTGAAGATGTCCTAATAAAAATTACATGGAAAAAGACATAATGTTCACAACACATAAATACTCAAAGAAGCCAAATATGGCTTCATTGAAAGTGCCTGGTACTAGAGAAAAATAAAAGTAAGAGCAGCAAAACTGAAAGAATCATGCCTTGGACATACACTTTGCATAAGAGTCAGAATAGGTCACAGATGCAGTAGCTCTGCTTAGCATCTCAAAAAAGAGCACTGAGCACAATAAACAGGAACTAATATAAAGAAATGGAAACAATGTATCACTTCAAGTACAAACACTAAACCAGGCTTGTCCAACCCGCGGCCCAAGGGCCGCATGCGGCCCAGGTCAGCTCACTTCAAGTACAAACACTACTAAACCAAAAGCACCAGAGTTCCCCAGTATCAAATTATTTCACCCACTTAACCCATGTTTTGATGTCTTTACTGAAATAGCAAAAGATCATGAGTGCAACAAGGCCACAAATGGGGCAGGACAACAAGCACTACGTTCCACAATGTCAAATTTAGAGGGCAGGGTAAGAATAATCCCACTGTCCTCTGCTGATCTTCTTTGTAACTGAGGAGCTAAATGTGGCAGCCTTGCAAGCCCAAGCTTCCCCACCTGCAGTGGAAAGCAACATTTCACATGACACCCTCTTCTGAGCCATCCACCAGAGGAAAAAGGGGGGCAGGACAACAAGCACTACGTTCCACAATGTCAAATTTAGAGGGCAGGGTAAGAATAATCCCACTGTCCTCTGCTGATCTTCTTTGTAACTGAGGAGCTAAATGTGGCAGCCTTGCAAGCCCAAGCTTCCCCACCTGCAGTGGAAAGCAACATTTCACATGACACCCTCTTCTGAGCCATACACCAGAGGAAAAAGGAAAGGAAAGGTGCTGTTGTTCCTGGGTGTACTTTGACCACTGGTTTCTAGAATACATCCTGAGAAACAAGGAATAATGGAAAGGGTAGCTGGCGACTTCAAATACAATAAATAGATAGATAAATAAATATGTTTCAGAATGCAGGTGACCTCAGAAGCTATCCTTATCATCATGCCTTGCTCCTCGGGACCTCCCATCGAAACCACCAGTCAAAGTGAGAGATGCTCAGGAAGCAGAGTGGCTGCCTTTCCTTTCCTCTAGTAGTGTTTTCTGCTGGAAGTTTATTTTTAATTTCTTTCTCTGACATCCAGGGGGGTAGAAGCAACAACGGCTGAGCATGGCTGAGTGAGGAGTGCCTGCCTTTAGCTTATAACTTCTACAGCAACAGACAAGGCAACTGTCATGGCTATAACCTCTAAACCTTGGGCACGCTAAAAGTCGTTTTTCATTTTAGGTACCAAAACTACTAGTTATATCTCTCGTGGGCAGCAACAAAGAATATTTTACAATAATGAACAACTTAATTACTTTAACACCAACTAAGTAAAAGAACAATCTGTCATAGTTTTATGACTGCACCTTAGGAATCAGAAGTGAGACAGTCTTTGATATTTATTTATCTTTATTGCACCTTTTCTGGCGTTTACGTTCCAAAAAGTAAGTTTGTCTTAGGTTTCCCTCAATGGACAACATACATAAGGAGACATTCTTGGAACTACCAGAGACTACAAGGGAAGAGATGCTCCACCATAATTAAATTATCCCCACATTACTTTAATTACTAAATATAATGTGGAATATGTTAGCAAACTACTGTTGCTTCAATATGACTTTTAATACAGCTGTGAGCCAAACACTTATATACTTGAACCCCACAAAAGTTTGTATCATAGATTTTTGAGGACTGAAGATAGTTATTTGAAATTAAAAGGCTTACTGTTAGTCCCAACTTTCATCACTACTACTTATTCAGAAGATGTACTCTAGCTGGGGCTAATAACTGGATTTAGCTAACAAACATTATGGCTTTTCCTTGAGATGATCTTTAAAGAAAGTCCTCCACTTTGCAGGAGTTTTTTTAATAGCTGAAATGATTTGTTATTTTTGCACAAATGTTAGTATCTTCTTGCCCCTACTGATATGCTCGAGACACAACAGATAATGTCTTTCTTTCAGCGTGACCATCAGATTACAGTGGTGCCTCGCTTAACGATTTTAACTGGTTCCAAAAAATTCATCACTAAGTGAAAACATCGCTAAGCGAAACGCGGTTTCCCATTGAAATGCATTGAAAACCGGATAATCCGTTCCAATAGGAACAAATTGCCGTCCTTATGCGAAAATTGCCATAGGAAACATTGCTAAGCGAAACGCAGTTCCCCAATTGAAATGCATTGAAACCTATTCAATGAATCTCAATGGGGGAAAAAATTCAACAACAAATTAAAAGAGTCAGAACAAAGTCAAATTTGGTTAACAAAGGGTTTATTAAGTGCACTTTATGATTTCAAACATTTTAAACAGTAAACTTTAACTTTATAACATTTAAAAAACAGCAAACATGAGGCTGTTTAAACCATCGTTAAGCGAAACAGGGGACCCAAAAATTTAATCGTTATGCGAAGCATGGTCCCAACATCGCTAAGCGAAAATCGCCCATAGGGACCATCGTTAAACGGAGCGCAAAAATGCTCTGAAAAAGTCATCGCTAAGCGAATTCATCGTTAAACGAAGCGCTCATTAAGCGAGGCACCACTGTATTTAAATGACACAAACCTGCTTGTAAAACTATGATATTCTTTCAAATGTATACAAAAAATATTCATCCATGCTAAGCCTTTCATGCTTAATAAGAGCTATACTCATATACTCTAATCTGATCACTGAATAAACAGACAATTTACTTCATTACTGAATTCAACCACACCAAGTGATGCTATTGCTTCATTTCTCTTTTTCTGACCCTCATCATTACCTGAGATGACAAATGCTGTGATTTGACAAGCTGTTCTTTGAAAGAGGAGCAATATGCTTCAAACTATCACCTTGAAGGAGGACTGGTTTTGCTTTTCTTTCAGAAATGTTCATCTGAGATTTAGTGAACTATATGCTTACAAGTCAATAGTCCAAATGCAGAGGATCATACAGTGAACTGCTGCAAGGGCCCTCTTCAAGAAAGAGTTCTTCTATATTAGCTGACACATCAGTCTTGCACTTCGGAACATCTAGATTATATACTGCAAAGATCTGAGGCAGAAGTGAAAAAGCCCTCTCCTCAGTCCACTGGACGGTATCAGAACTCTCCAAAAGTACCTGTGTGGCTCACTTTCACCCATCAGCCAAAAGGAAAGGTAGATGAGAAGAAGGTTACTACCTTCAAATCTACTCCATTAAAAGAAATAGGGCATAAAAGCTTGGCTCTGTGCTGGTTGCATTTATAAACTATGTATTGCATAGAATTCCCATATCAAAGGGAATTTTCCCAGAGAACTGTCATTTCATCACCCTGGGAACAGCACAGTATTTTATGTATAATAGGTAAAGGTTCCCCTTGACATTTAGTCCAGTCATGTCCAACTCTAGGGGGCAGTGCTCATCCCCGTTTCCAAGCCATAGAGTCAGCATTTGTCCGTAGATAGTTTCTGTGGTCACATGGCCAGTGCAACTTAGACATTATGTATAATGGAAAGTTGTAATTATATGCCTCCAGAACAGGAGTGAGCAACTGTTACCTTTCCAGGTGATTTTGGACTGCAGCTCCCATAATATTTCATCACTGGCTATGCTGGTTAGGGCTGATGGGAGTTCTAGACCAAAAGCATCTAAATGTCCACAATAGTCCACATCCACACTAGAAGGTGAAGTGAAATACAACATTTACCCCATCTCATCAAAGAACCAGAAGTTGCAGAAAGTAAGGCTGATATTCACCTAGTCTTATTCTACAAAGCATAATATTCACCTACTAGGTGGCCAAATTTATAATCAAGCGTTTAAATGTGGAGCATATTTGCAAAGCCAGGTTACACAGTTCTATTGACCAAACATTTTTTTCAGTCACTACGTATGTTCATTGAACACTTGCAAATATACAGAGATTAGATTCACAGGAAATATCGCAACAACTTTACCTCCAAACTAATCATTTCCAGGTCACTGACATTACAGAAATTAGCACTGAGGTTCCCCCTTTTTGGACAGGGAAATGCATATCTTGCATTAATTAATTAATACAGCAAGTTTACGAAGATACACTGTATTTTTATTATCTGCTTTATTAAGCATCTGTAAAAATCAGACTTGCACATGGATAGTAAAAATCTCATATGTAAATCAACAGATATTATAAGCACCTAAGATTTCAAGAGAAGAGGGGGAAATAATCAAATATGCAGTGTTTACCTGCACTCCCAGTACTCAACAAG